CCTGTCTCATGAATACCCACCAGATCATGTAAATACTTTATCAGCACCACATGGTCAACTATATCAAACACTGCTGAATGACCAAGTAAGATCAGCAAGGCAAAATTTCCCCTGTTGATCTCCAGCTGAAGGATCATCGACTAAGTCTACAAGTACAGATTCTGTTCCATATCCAACATGAAAGCCATACTGACAAGGGTCCAGAAAAATGATGGCATCCAGATATGCCAAAAAGAGGGAGTTGGAGACAGGGCAATAACAAGATGGGGAGTCAGTATCAAGTGATGGCTTCTTGAGCAGACCCAGACAATCAGAGGTGTAAGAGTGTCCAGTACCCTGTCTTCCCAAGGGAGGCACTGATAATCCTTGCCAGCAGTAGCTCCAGTCTTTCCTGGTTGGCTTTTACAAGCCAGAACAGGCATGGGTCCAGTTCGCAGCTGCTTGCCCTCATCCCTCCAAAGACATTCTCTGCATTAATGGGTAGTAGCAATTTTAAATGATCCATAATAAGAGAACAAGACCACATGAATGAAACACCAAGAAAATCTCATGCAGCTGCTTTTTAGTATGTAACTGGACCATCCATGGCCCCTGTTCCAAAGGGAAGATACTGGCACTGGGGGAACCAGCTTACCTGGATGCAGAGCTGGCCAACCATCCCCACCAAGAGCTGAAGTGGGGACCCTGTCTGGGAAAGGAAGTGATTCCCAGGCAAATGCTGAGGCACAGTTCAGGAGCTGGCAATGATTGGTCCAGGAACCTGGAAGGCAGGAACAAAAAGGTGCCAATTCTTTCTCCCCTGAGAGGGGAGTCATGCAGGCAGTTTCAGATGACAGCACAGTCCATGTAGAGGCATGGAGCAGAGCTGGGAGCACTGGGGGCCTAGAACAGGACTGAACACCAGAGAAGCTGGGAGGAGAGGCAGCACAGTGAGTTCTGATGACAGGCCAGCTAAGAATGGCTGAATTAGGAGCCAAGGCTGGGCTTGGGAAAGTGGAAGCCCAATCTGGAACCCCTCAGAAGATTGCTTAGAGTGAGGATCTGATTACCTGTTACGAACTCAGAATCAATTGAGTAAAGAAATACAGGCAACCCCTGCTTAGCACTCCTAATTAGTTCAGAAAAAAAGCATTAAGTGGAACCATGTTAAGCAAAACCCATTTCCCTATAAAAATTTATGTAAATAAATATAATTGGTTCTGCCGCCCCTTCCCTGCCTGCCCACCAGCTGCTCCAGCACCACCTGCCAGCCTGGGCCCCACACTCCTGTTGCCCTGACGGCCCTGGCCCTGGGCACTGGTCTGGGCCCTGTGCTTCTGCCACCCTGCTGGCCCGGGCTGGGGGCCAGCCCAGGCTTTATGCTCACACCCCCTGCCTGTCTTGGCCCCAGCTGCCGGCCTGGGATCCACGCTCACATACCTCAACCACCCCAGCACCAGTCACTGGCCCAAGCTCCACGCTCACCCCTTCTTACCAATGCCACCACCACTCCTCCCTACCCACGTGCCAACCACTCTAGCACCACGTGCTGGAGCAGACTCTATGCTTCTGGTCCAGCTGCTGGCCCTAGACCCAGACACTGGCTCAGGCTCTGCACTCAAGCCACCTACCCCTTCTCACTGCCGCTCTTCCCTGCCCGCACACCCACCAGCCAACTAGCTGCTCCAGCACCACATGCTGGAGTGGACCCTGTGCTCCTGCCGCCCTGCCCTGGGCCCCACTGGCTGCCACTCACCTCTTCATTTGACGCTGCCACCGCTGCTTCTCCCTACCCCCACGTTCAGTGTTATAATGAAACTTACTGAGTGCTAAGTGGATTCAGGCAGGGGTTGCCTGTACCTGCATGTCAGACTGATTGTAACCCAGGCTGGCTGACTGAAGGAAAAGTTCAGTCTTTGCAGTCCTTTGAGCAAGGGGTCAATTGACTGAGAGTGGACTTGCTCCCCAGAGAGATTTGGGTGAGTTCCAATTGATGACAGACCATTACTCTGAGAATGGAGTGATTTATATAAGGACTGATGGAGGGCTGAGGGCTCCTCTGAGGATGGACTGATTTATATAAGGACCAAGGGGTGATTGAGAATTCCTCCAAAGAAGGAGTGTTGACATAAGGACTGATTGGTGACTGATAATCCCTCTAAGGGAGAAATATCCCTGTGAGGTTGCACTGACCGTGCAGTGTGCAAGTCTGGACAAGTTGGATTCAGTGCACTCAAGGAACAAAGGAACTGGACATGTTGGTATGAAAGAGATAGATACCAACCCAGTAAGGTGTGGTGAGGACAGGATATAGGGGAGGTGGAGCCCTGTGGAAAAGGTCTCACCAAACTAATGTCTCCATATGGCCCAGACTGACTGCTGACCTCCTGATTCTTGTTAATGTCTCTTTAACATCAAGGTGTGGCAGGAAATTGAAGTGGAGGACAGGGAATGGGACTGGAGTGGACAGGAGTCTATCAGATGCATCTGCTTATGTGGTGCATGCCCAGGGCTGGTCTTAGGCTCTTCATCTGGGGTGTGATCATGGAAGGAGCAATGCAATTTCCTTTTGGCGTGAAGTATTCCTGGAGCAGGAGCACAGGTGAGATGTGTTTTTACAGTCATGCTCCATGGCACAGTCTGATGCAGTGTAGGCATGTTATTAACATGCAACTATTCAGGGCAGTGACTTTCTTAGTGCCTATACATATAGTTCTGAGCACAATAGGGCCCAGAGTTTGATTCTGTCCTCTAGGCATTACTGTAATACAAATAATAAAAGGGCATTGGAGAAGCTCTGAGGACAGCTTGCACAGCAGCTCTCTGAGATATTAGCTTGCATATTACAGATAATTGCACCATCTGGGTGTGAGGGAGAGAGGGAGAAAACAGAAGCACTCTCATGTTGGTTATTTTTATATAGAATTCTAAATGCACTGAAACAAATGGGTTTTCAAAAAAAGTTTAAGGACTCCCTGTGATGCTTTATATCTTTATCTGGACCTCTAATGGAAATGCATTAAAAGTGTTCACAAAATCTCATTTACTTTTTTAACATGGACCCAACCATGGATCTGAAAAACAATGGAGCTGGGTCAGATCCTCAGCTGTTATATCAGTGCAGCTTCATGAAGGTCACTGGAGCACTGCCAATTCAAACTAGCTAAGAAGTAGTCACAACATTATATATGGGGGAAGTGCCACAGAATCACAGAAAAGTAGGGCTGAAAAGGACCTGGAAACGAGGTCGGCTAATCAAATCCCCTCCTTAAAGCAAGATCATCTTTATCTAAACCATCCTAGACAAGTGTTTGTCTAACCCATTCTTAAATCTTCATGAACTTTTCTTGCATAAGTACCAGGCATCATATCTGAAAATATCAGAAATATTCTGACTTGCCACAGGTAAGGCAGGAGAGCAAGGACAGTGTTAGTTAGATGATTATGGTCAGGAGAAGTTGTTAAAATATGCCCAAAAGATCCAAGGAAGAGGACAATTCCCCCTTCTCCCACCTGCCACTTCAGAGGAAGGCAAAAACATTCGCTGTCCATGCAAATCTGGCTGTGAAATACAATTCCTTCCTGATTCCAAATGTGGTGTTTGGTTGGACCCTAGGCAGAGGAGCAAGACTCTCTATCCAGGAACTTCTGGGTTCTTTAAGTCCTAGCAAAAGCATCAGCACATCCTACTCAAAATTCCCAACTTTGACTATAGCCAACACTTAATGCTTCTGAGGAAGGTGAAAAAACATTCAAACATCTGTAGCAATGGAGGGGAAAATATCTCTTTCCAGCCCCATTGTGGAAACCAGCAATTCCCAGAAGAATGGGAAAAACCAAACACTCTCCACTCTGCAATGTAACCTGGGGACTCTAAACACGACTCCATGCATCAGACACTCGAACTGGAGGGCCAAAACTCCTTTTTCTATCATCTTATCCCTTCTGTAAACTTGTATTAGCTCCTTTAATCTTTCATAACCAAGCTGATTTTGGAGCTCTGCTTCATCCTCCTCTGCTGAGCATGATCCTCTCCAATTTTCACATGGTCTGGACTCTGTACTATGCATAATGGGTTTCTTGGGCTTAGAACTATTGCTCTTCAATAGATTTTTTTCTGATATCTATTCTAAATTAGATTTAGATCTAGATTTTTTCCCTGATATCTATTCTAAACCTAATTTACTGCAATTATTCCAAGTGTATATTATGCATTGTACTCTCCACAGCAAAGGAGAAAAAGGTGCCCCCCTCTTCTTTATGGCAGCTTTTCAGATATTTCAAGGCTACTATCATGTTCCCCAGCAAGCACCTTTTCTGCAACCTTAATTCTCTCAGCCTCTTAGTACTCTCAACCTCTCCTTTTATGACTTGCCTTCCAATCCTTTATTTCTGTCATCTGCCTTTGGACCTTCTCTAACTTTCCCATATTCTTTTCAAAATGCAGAGGTCAGAACTTCACACAATATTCTGGCTGAGACCTAACTAGCACCAAGTAGAGTGGTGGTATCACCTCCCATGTCTCACACCTAATATTCCTATTGATGAAGCCCAAAACTACACTTGCCTTTTTTGCAAAGTTGCACCACACTGCTGGCTCATGTTCAGCCTGTGATCCACCAAAACCTCAGATCCTTCTTCTCATGGTTACCATCCAGCCAGTTATCACCCATTATGTGTTTGTTCTTTTGAATATTCTTCCCCTGGTGTAGCATCTTGTGCTTATATGTTTTTTGAAATACCACTGGCTGGTTTGGGTAAGAGTTAAAGTATCTCAGAGCAATAACAAAATTACTGTAGGCTTGCATCCCATATTTTTATTTTGTAAAGAATGATTTTACTCTATATTGCTTATGTTTTGAGAAATAGAAAAATATGACCTTAGTCATATTTAGTCAAATATCACCAGTGCTCTCTATATCTAAAGACATTTCTCAGTTTTTGGAGCAAAAATAGATCAGTAAAATTGTATTTGTAAAATAGTATTTAGAAGATTTACAAAAAACTTGTCCCTGTTGGGTCCAGTGCTGCAACTGGTACCACGTGAACAGAAACCCTCTAATTTCAGTGCACAGTTGAAACAGCACACTCCATCTATACAGACTGTATTATGAGAACAGAGCTATACCTTCATGGGAAGGTGAAAACAATCCCATAATGCAACTAATCATCTGTATAATGCTGTGAATAATGATAAGCACCTCTATTATGACTTTCAATTTATCTCAAAACACTTTAAAAACAATTAATGAAGCTTTGCATTTGGTGATAGGTGAAGGAATTACGGTGAATATTCATTTAAAACCGTACCTATTACCTAAAAACACTGCAGTTTAGGACAGGAGATGAAGCCTTGCTGTAGCCAAACACTGTTTAGCTTGAGAGATTTAATGGAATAAGAAAATAATTTGGAATAACTGTATCAACTTGACAAAAAATATTTCTGTCTGACAGCTACCAGAGGTCACCTTATGTCTCAAATCATGAGATTTGATTCATTATCCTCATAGAGCAGCTTTCTTTGCATAGCTCAAGAATATTCTACTAGCCAGGAACTAATCCACCAACATAAATTGATGCAACCTCCATCAATATAATCACAAAATAATTACAAGCTGGTGTAAAATTAGTTCCTCTTATTTGTCTACATTGTTTTTCTTTAATATTAAGCCAGGACCAAAAGAGGACCAGTTCAGTTTTCACTAAAATTGTCATAATTGTGAATACCTCAACAAGCCCCTGGTAATTATTATTTTTTGCAAGGTAATAAATTGTAGAACC